TTAGGCAGCAACGCAAGCACAGAATCTCCGGAGAATAAGACAAAGAAGGAACTTGATTTGAACACCATTACCGAGCACCGCTGGGACTCTCTCTTTTTTCACTCGCTCGCTCGCTCGGTCTTTCTCTTTCTTTCGTTCTTTCTCTTTCTTTCGTTCTTTCTCTTTCTTTCGTTCTTTCTCTTTCTTTCGTTCTTTCTCTTTCTTTTCGCGCTTTCTCTTTCTTTCGTTCTTTCTCTTTCTTTTCGCGCTTTCTCTTTCTTTCGTTTTTTTCTCTTTCTTTCGTTCTTTCTCTTTCTTTCGTTCTTTCTCTTTCTTTTCGCGCTTTCTCTTTCTTTCGTTCTTTCTCTTTCTCTTTCTTTCGTTCTTTCGCTCTTTCTCTTTCTTTCGCTCTCATTCTTGTTCTCGTTCTCCTATTCTCTCCCTCTGTCTCTCCCTTTCGCTGTCCTTTCTCTCTCTCTCTCTCCCCGTCTTCCCCTCCCCTTCTCAGTCTCCCTCTCCCCTTCCCTCCCTCTTTCCCTCTCCCTCTCCCTCTCCCTCTCCCTCTCCCTCTCCCCCTCCCGCTCCCCCTCTCAGTCTTCCTCTCCCTTTCCCTCTCTCCTTCTCCTCCCTCCCTCTCCCTCTCCTCGTGTTCTGTGCTTTCGACCTGCTTGTCGTGTTTAATGTTTAAGTCCCTCGCTCGCTGCTTGCATGCACTCGCGAAGGCAAATAGGGGGCGAGACGTGAAGGAGTTTTATTCATTTGACGTTTTAATTTTCTTTTTTTATTTTCGATTTCTACTTTTTTCCCTTTTTCTTCGTCTTTTTTTGTCTTTGCTTTTCCTCTGTTTGTTTTTTTCCCTCTGTTTTCTCCCTTTTCTCCCTCTCCTTTCTCTCCCTCTCCCTCCTTCCCCTCCCATCTTCTGTCCTTTCCCTTTCTCCCTTCCTCCCCCTCCCTCTCCTTACCCCTTCCTTCCCTTCTCTCCAACTCCCCCCCTTCCCTCCCTTGACCCTCTCCCCTTCTCCCTCCCTTCCCCTCTCTCCCTCCCCCTTTTCTTGTCCCTCTCCTTTCCTCCCCCTTCCCTCACCCCCTCTCCTCCTCCCTCACTCCATCCTCCTCCATCACCCCCCCTCCCTCCCCCTTCCCCTCCTCTCAAGAGATACGAGGTAAACAGACACATTTTTTTTTCCTTTTTAGACAGACACCTGCCACTCAAATGAGACAGCAGGGAAAAGGGAGATTGGGTTTACGTTGCAGAGATTATAGTATACGCGCACAATGGATTCCGTACACTATGGACCACTTCGTTATATGAGGATGCACTGTACCTTGCGTTTGTGTTTCCTTTAAGTTTACGTTCTTTTTTTTTGTTTTTTCTTACTATCATTTAATTAATATATAATATATATATATTTTTAATCTTATGCGTATTATTTTCACTGAATATAATAAGTGTACCCATTTCATTATTGCTGTCTGTATTTTTTTTTCCTTTTCTTTTCTTTTCTTAACACATAATATGAAGGATACTTTTGAAAGCAAGGAAATGTATCAGAGGGAGGGGGGTGGAGGGAGGGAGACAAAGAGAGAGAGAGAGAGAGAGAGAGAGAGAGAGAGAGAGAGAGAGAGAGAGAGAGAGAGAGAGAGAGAGAGAGAGAGAGAGAGAGAGAGAGAGAGAGAGAGAGGAGGAGAGAAAGAGAGAGAGAGAGAGAAGAGAGAGAGAGAGAGGAGATGAGAGAGAGAGAGAGAGAGAGAGAGAGGAGAGAGAGAGAGAGAGAGAGAGAGAGAGAGAGAGAGAGAGAGAGAGAGAGAGAGAGAGAGAGAGAGAAAGAGAGAGAGAGAGAGAAGACCGGACAGACAGAGAGCGATACACATCACGACCCAACAAGAAAATTTACCAAGAATAAAACAAACAAACAAACAAACAAAAACGGGACCACAACAGATCACAAACGAACAAGACAATTTCCCCCCAAAAAAGGATAAATAAAGACAAAAACAATAAACAAATAAGTAAATCAACAAATAAAACAAAAAATAACAAAACTATATAAAAATAATTAAGCAAAAACCGGATCACGAACTGAACTTAGAGCTTAGTGAAGGAAAGCAAAAATAAATCCGTTTTCGCCACACTGTAAAGATAACAGTTATATATCACGGGTTCTTGAGGTAAGGGGAGAGGGGGGGGGGGGGGAGGGAAAGGGGAGGGGGGGGCAGGGGAGTATTACCGGACCTTCTCTTTTTTTCTCTTCTTTCTTGCTTTTGCTTCTTCTCTTTAATTTCTTTTTTTTCTTTTTTTTCAGTCCCCTTTTATCTGTTTGTTTTTAATTTTATGCTCCTCCTCCTCCCCCTTCTATTCCCCTTCCTTTCTCCTCTCTTCTCTTCTCCTCCTCCTGTTTTATCTTTCTCTTCCCCTTCCCCTTCTCCTTGTTAGTGTTGTTCTTCCTCCTCCTCCTCCCTCCCTTCCTCTTCTTCCTCCTCCTCCTCCTCCTCCTCTTCCTCCTCCTCTTTCCCACCCCTCTCTTCCTCCCCTCCCTTCTTTCCTCCCTTCCTCCTCTTCCTCCTCCTCACCCCTCTCTTCCTCCCCTCCCTTCTTTCCTCCTCCTCCTCCCTCCCTTCCTCTTCTTCCTCCTCCTCCTCCTCCTCTTCCTCCTCCTCTTTCCCACCCCTCTCTTCCTCCCCTCCCTTCTTTCCTCCCTTCCTCCTCTTCCTCCTCTTCCTCCTCTTCCTCCTCCTCTTTCCCACCCCTCTCTTCCTCCCCTCCCTTCTTTCCTCCTCCTCCTCCTCTTCCCCCTCCTCCTCCTCCTCTTCCTCCTTCCAGCATCCTCCCATCTCGCTACCTGATAATCTGTTGACTCAGGTGCCCCCCCCCCCTCCTCGTGCCCACTTGCCCCCGCTCGGTTCCCTCCCATCCCTTCAATGCCCACCTGGGACCTCGCAACAGAAAACGGTGTCCCAGCACCAACTATTTTATTTATGCTAGGCTCATAGTATCCCCTGTTTACTACAAAGTTCTCGAGGTTTTGCCGAATTTAATGACAAATTAAATGAATAAACACAAACAAACAATTAACTATAAAAA